TAATTTTCTTTTTTTAAATTTTATTTTGTTTTATTGAGAACCAAATATCAATGAGACAGTTTCAAAACTGATGAATAGGACATTTTCAATAATTAATACATTGTGCATTGTTATCTTCTTAGTGGTTATCCATAGTAAAAGAAGCAGACAGGATGTCCTGTCCAAACACTATTACTACAAATCTTTCTTCTCATTGAATTAAGCAAAAGTAGCTGTATATCTATCCCAACTATTCTGTATATACAAATCCTGGTATAATTTTCAAGATGCTTAAAAATTCTTTCAACTCTGTACACATCTACTCGAGATCCCTCCAAAGTTATTTCAAGGGCCGGTTGTCATGCTCACCTGTGGTTGCAGCTGATTTTGTCCATTCACTGTTCCCAGGGTTAAAGGCAATGTGTGGGCTGCAGGTGTTGCCCCTGGGGCAGGAGTGAGCTGTGGGCAGTAAGAGAGATGTACATTGTGTTTCCCTCAATGTGAATGTTAGGAAACTAAAATGTACTTGCTAAACATTAAAAAAATGCCTTTAGGAGGAGAATTTTTTATGTGAGTACATAGTATTTTACTGGATGCATAATTAGATGATAAAATTTATACTTGTTTACTCTTCCAGTACAAAAATAAGGCCCATTGCTAACTTTTCCATATTACATTTAATTCCCTCCCTTGAAGAATTATTTAGGTGATATTTCCTTGCTTTTCCCTTTTGGCTACAACAGCAAAGGTTCTTGGACTTTTCTGATGGATTTTTTTTCCCTGAAGAAATAAATTTCTTGGGGCCAGAGAGATGGCTTAGTGGAATAAGTGCTTCTCTGGCAAGCGCAAGGGTCTGAGTTCAATCCCCAGTTCTGCCAAAATAAATAAATAAAAAATAAAACCTCACTATAAAAAAAAGAGAGAAAGAAATTTCTTCTAAGGTACACCATGAAAAGTATGGAGTAAAGAATAAATTATCTAATCAGAACATAAATTAATACTACATTTGAATGTGAACACTAGAAAAAGTCCATTTTAGTTAGAAAAGTCAGTTGTTTTTCCATCTCATAAACTTAAAAGATCTGTGAGGAGGCTGAATCTCTTTCTGCTCTGTTTGGCTTGCACTTATTATGGGGGTGAGTATGCTCAGTGGGGTGTCCATGTGGATGTTGTAATGGGGACCAGGAAGGGATGGGAGGTAAGTGGGAAGCCATGCTTGGAGAAGAGGTGGGAGGAACTTGAGAATTAGAACAGATCCTTTAGAAGAGATGTTCTTATCAAGAAGATGTTTTCAAGATGTATTGACTAGAATCTTTTCTCTTTTCTCTCTTATTCCTCTTCATGCATCTGCAATGAACATGTGTGTGTGCATGGGTAGATAGTCATTTCCCTATGTTCTTGCCTCTTCTCTGTACTCAACAATAAGCATTAGATTTAACAGTGGCTAGTCTGAAAGATGAGTAATGCATGACCTAAAGAGCACTTACCAGTTGCAGATCTGACCCCAGTGTAAGCAGTTGTGTTAAGGGTATTAGACTTAAGGAAGGGAAGACCTGAAAAGAGTTAAAATTGATGTATTAGACAATAGATTATCTATTTCTACCACTCTGCCAAAGGGTAGCTCTCTTCATGGCATCTGCACTCCTGTCCAAGGTGAACTCACTTCCTGGGCCTCTCTAGCTTTGCACTGGTCTCCCTAGGCCTGCTGTCCCCTTCCTGGGTCCTGGAGAGTGCCTTAGCAGTGTGTCAAGTTTATTCTATTGGCTGGCTTATTCTTATTTTCTATTGCATCATTAATTTTCACTTTGATATCTACTTCTACATATCTAATTTGTATTCATCATTCATCATGATTCAAACAAAAGGCAAAAGAATTAGGGTGTTTTGCTTTATTTTTTAAAAAAATATTTTGGGCCTTTTTTTTCTCCTTTTGAAAGTAAAACCTTCCACTCTTGTTCATTCACAAGACACTGTGTGAATCTTAATTTTAAACCCATCTGTCTTAGCACATTACATTTGCTGGTTTGTAAATCTTTTTGTCATAGGACACTTACCTGACTAGACTGCTGTTGTTTTTGTGGTGTCACCTGATCTGGAGTTGGTTTTGTGGGAGAAACTTCCAAAGCAGAGTTAAGCTGCTTCTGTGAATACAAATATTGAAAGGCAGAACTGCAGTTTAGGTTTTATATCCATTTATGTGCAGAAGGTAACAGGTTGGCCTGTTGCAAAAATGCCTGTCTTTAAGATTTCTATATTTTGAACAGTTTGATTCTTATAATGCTTGATGCATGGCAGGAGGTGGAGCTATATAACAGAAAAATTGAAAGCAGTGAGGAGGGCAATATGAGGGCCAGAGCACATGAGTTTTCTAGTGGTTTTCCTTGGTTTCTATGTCTTGTCTGTAACTGCTTTTCTCTTTTGTCTGTATAGGAAATATAAACTTTGCTTCTTAGTTCTATAGACATTTACTTTTTCCCGATGCTTGGATTGAACTGCCATAAATCCTACTGTATTTCATTAGTTTCTCACTTTTGCCCTGTGCCTGACCTATTGATTCTATGATGCAGGTTAAGTGTTTTCCTGATGAGGGCATTTTGTCTTTTATCACTGATTTGTAGGGGTGAAAATTTCCTTGCTACCTCATGATCCAGTTGTGTGGTTTTGATTTATAGCAGGAGAAGTCAGCTAACCTATCCAAGGTGATGTGAATGTAGAATCAACACCAGATTACCTGGAATGTTCTTCTTAGCCCTGAAAACTGAATCTTTCCCTTCCAACTGACCATAGCCAACCTCAGGTCTTTCCTTGGCTTCACTTTCATATTTCGTCTTGTGGCCCACCTTGACCTTATCCTCTGCCCCATCTAACTTTGCCCTGTGCTCTCTTCCTCAGTGCTTACCACTTCCAACACACACTGAATCTCTGGGTTAAGGGTGTTTACCATTTGTTTCCTTGCTAGAATATAAATAACACAGAGTAGAAACTATACAATTCAGGCAGATAAATCAGTGTCTGGCATACAGTCAGCAAGCAAGTATTTGTTGAAAGAATAAAGTCTTGGTTTACTTTAGGCCACCTACTTCCTGTGACTGATCCATCAGAATTCTTTCTTTCCACTCAGTATTTGCCATCTGATATCCACCTCCACTCTAGATCTACGGAAAAGAATCACTAGGCTGCTGCAAGTCTCCATATTTGCAAGCAGATTCATTTTTATGCCTTAAGAATACACTCATCTGCATATAAAAAGAAATACCTTGCTCATGTGTCCTGCTTTGTCTGCCTCATGGAAAGCCAGTGCTGTCTCCACTTCCCCACCTCAAAGACACCCAGTGTCATCTCTGAGTCTCCTAGCCATTCTCATCCTCTGCTCCTCTTGCACTCTGCTCTTCATTCCTTTCACTGTGATTCTGCCACGTTCTATTTTCTTGAGTTTTCACCAGTTGTATGGAAATTTAAATATATTTTACTTTGAAGAATCTTTTGATAAAGTTATTCAGTGAAGTGAAATATCTATTTGTTTTATTAAAAAATTAACTCCATACTCTACCTCGTTTCAAAGCTTAAATCTGCATAGGCCCCTTCTTTCTGGGAGGAAATGCAGATGGATATGAAGTGAAGTGAGAGGGAGGCTGGCTACTTATGCTTTATTCCATTCTTTCATAAGGTTTCCTTCACAGCACTAATCATAGGTATTAATAATTAATTTCTTTTAACCACTATTAACCGCTGATGTGCAGAGGCCTGTGAACACCATCAGGGACTATCCCCCATCACTGTATTTTCAGCAAATAGTGCAGTGTCTGGCATACAAAGAGGTTTCAACCCTTATTTATTGATTGTATGGATGACTACAGAAGCATCATGTGAGCTTAAGGCTCAGCTAGGAGCATTTTCTTCTTTTCACAGTGGACAAATTTTTTCCTAATTTCCATACTCAAGCATCTTGAACAAAGAGAAGTCCATTCAGAGATCTGAACTTCCATGTGTGTTTTTAAAGCAGACCCCTGGAGTGTGAAACATGATCTTCTTTTCTTTCCTGTTATGTGTAAACACCTTTTGTGAGGAAATGTCCTGATACCACTTTGTAATATGATCTTGCTATCACATAATTTGGTAGATATTTTAGAAGTTATATAATCTAGATATTACTCAATTAGAAAAAAATCAGAAAATTTATTTTATCTTAGTTATGAATAAAAATTAGTTGCCAAGAATTTTTTTTGAAGATGAAATAACTATTCATTTTGCGTAGATCTAGTCAGAGGCATTCCATTATCCCTCATTCTTAATGCACTATTTTGCCAATATAACTTAAATTCTGCTGCTGTGAGGATGCATTTTAAAATGCAAAATATTTAAAGATGGAGCAACACATTGTTAGTGTAGTATCTTTTCCCTTGGAAAATAAAAACATGAAACTGAAAAAACGCATCATAAAGTAAATGAGTTCTGGTGGCCACAGGAAGAGAGAAGCCCATGGTCCACCTAGGGTTGGAGACACAGAAAGCAGATAACTGCACTTACTGGTAAGGACTGAGCTGATCCAAGAAGACAGAGCAGCAGAATCGCAGTCTTCATGTTTTAAGCTGCTACCTGTGAGACCAAAACAGCGTCCCCAACTTTACATGTACTGAAAATAATCACTAAGCTGCTATAAGTCTCCACATTTGCAAATGGATTAATTTTTCTCATCTTTATAATTTAACACATTCATTTGCATAAACTGAGAAATACCTGTTCATGTGTTCTGATTTTCATTTAATAAATATTGTCTCTATACCTAGTAGACATTCAGTGCCATCTACCCCTAGGCCTTACCTATTCCCAACTAACTACAAAATATTGAAATGTCATGCACTCTATTTTCTTTCTTTTGAGATACATGCTACATTAAAAAGATAAACATTGTACTTGAAACATTGTCAATTAAAGTTACCTTGTGTTCACCAGGCAAAGTATACAGATGAAATGATTTCAAAATCCAGATGACTTCTCCAGTTTACTCTGGTAAAATATTTTATGCTTTGATGATTTGAATTTGTAGACAGAATTTAAACTCAACTCCAGAATATTGGCAACTTGAGAACCAATCAGCATTTAGCTGTCTGTGAAATCATTTGGTTTCTTTCATTTCCCAACATTTCATTAGGTGGGTTATTAGGTACAGACATTATGTTAGTCAGTGTCTGACATTTAACTAGAGGGTATTTTAGGGAAACACACTTTATGTAATTAAAAAAGTGCAACCATTAAAAAAATTAAAATTTGTTTTCACCTTCATCTCTTTCCTAGACTATTTCCAAAATTACTTGTTTTATCATGTAAAAGTGAAGACATAAATCAAATATAGGGGTCTCTCTCTATATACTCAACTGAAGTTTATTAAGAAATATACATTTCTCTGTAACTTAGCTGGCTTAAATAATGAACAGCTTTTTGTGAGTACACGTGCATTAATTTCACTTATTTATTGGTTACTTTATATTACATCACATCCGCTTTTTCTTTTGATAAACAGTAAATCCATTCCCATTTTATTTTGTAATAATTAGAGTGTTATAATGAACATCCTCATAAAACTTACTTGCATATGTAAAAGGTGGTATTCCTGGAAATACTATTTTAAAGGATATCTGGATTTTATATTTCAATAAGTATGCCTTTCAGAGATTTGCATAGTCCTTTATTTTGGGGGTTTTGAGACAGAGTCTGTTCTTGAACTCAGTTCTGGGTTTACGGGCATGCACCATCTGTCTGGCCTGTAGTTCTTCATTTCAATTGACTGAAAAGACATTCGAACCTAAGGAAAAGACAAGGGACCCACTGAGATTTCTTTCACACAAAGAATGGCTAAGTGCCATCTGTAAGTGTCCAGGGCAGAGGCAGATGGGGGTCCTTTCAATAATTCCTGAAATCAAATAAATAATGAGTCTAGACCAGACCTACTAAGATATTTCTCATCTAAAGACTGAGTGCCATTCCTGTGATTAGATCCCTAAATAAACTGGTTCCTGAATGCTGAACTGTATATAGTATGTGCATTGTAACATTCAGAACAAAGAAATGATCAAAGGAACCACCATGTCCATGACTTTATTTTTATTTGCACAACTGTTTCAGGCAGTGCTGTAATGTAAAACAGAAAATAAAACTAGAGTACTATACTGTACAATACATCCAGCAAAAATTCAGAACTGTATAAACAAGGTATACTGTATGAAAAAGATGTGAGGCTCTATAAACAAAACGAATGGAAATGCACAAAAAATGATGAGTGGCAAGTCATAAATCTGAAAGTTATTAAACAGGTATGTGGATAAACAAGGGCCATCTGCATTTGTACGGAAGACGCTGCGTGCCACATCCTTCTTCTTTCTCTTCTTTTTACCAGCACAGCACAGGAAGTCCTAATAGAAAGTGACTGAGATGGTTCCTGTCAGAGCCAGTGCCAGGCGTGGAGGGACTGTCTGAAGGGGGCCACACAGGCTGGGAGGGCAACCCATAGGAGGATGCACAGGTGTGAAGGGCATGGTTAATCAGGTTGGAGGCCAAGAACAGCAGAAACTGAACAGAGGAGGTCACCCCTGAGGGGTGCTTGGAAGACTCCATGGGAAGTCGGCAGGAAGGCCTGGCAATGCCCGCGGACTTCAGGTCCATATGGGGGCGATGCTGACTTTCCTGAGCACCCGAGCAGAGTGGGCTGGGAGGAGCAGCATGGGGTAAGGTTGGGGAATACCTCCTTCACCTCTCATATCCCTTTTTTGTTTCTGTCACTGATTTTGACACTTCATCAGCTGTTATTCTATGCATCGCCTTCATTATTTTCTGCAGCTTCTGTTGTACTAGAATCTAGTAACAAAGGGAGAGTTCTGGAAGCCTTGTTTTAAATTTCTTTAGAATTTTCCATTTGTGGTATTGGAAAAGCACCATATGATCACTGCAAATTGATGAAAAACCCCAGAGGGACATATGTAACAGGGTGAGATCAAATTGTGTGAGTGAGTACAATGAAGGGCAGATGTGGCTTTCCATGGATTTTGAGGATAAATATGATGAATGATCAGAAAATGACATGGTGAAAGTTGATACTGAGAGGAGTTATGATCTGTAAATGCTAAAGGATGTGGAAGAGAAGCACATTTATTTACATTCTTGCAAACAGTAGGAGGAACTACAATTTCAAATTTCAGAATGATTACCTCCTTTTGCAAAGTTTTCATGGCCAAGTGTGAGCTGCCAGTTTGCCCTCTCCTCTCCTGGACTAGAGGAATGGCAGAAAGTGCAGATCCTGGCACTGGAGGGCAGTCCAGTCTCCTTTCCATAGGGAATGGAGGCTGGGAAAGGGCCAAGAGGGACAACACAGTGTGGAGCTGCCTGGTGTCTCATTGTGTTTCCTCTGGCCCTGTTTCTCTCTCCAAAAGTCTCTGCACATCAGGACAGTAAGGTGACAGCTCAATGCAACAAAAGCCCTCTGTCTCACTCATGTTACACTCCAAGAAAGTCTTTTTCCTTACAGTTTGGGAAGTGTACGGACTTGAATGCCTGGGAAGCTCCTCATGATTTTTCATAGACAAGTTTATTCTTCTAAAAAATCCTTTCAATTCACTTTTCAGAATATCATTTAATAGTCACTCTGCATTCAATTGTATTGTTTTACTTCCTGAAAATAACAATCTTTGTCCCGTTAGAGCTTACAGTTGGTAGGGGAACATTAAATATTTTTTATTGTTTTAAGAATTTAAGGATTTTTTTTTTTTTGTTCCTCGAATGCCTTCAGGGCACTTTTGGCCAGCGGGAGAGGTGTGAGGTTCGAACTCCAGCAACCTGAGGCTGACAGCTTTGTGGAAGCAGCCACTTAAAGGCCTGAGCTAGGGCCAGGCCCCCTGTTTTAAGAATTTAAAATGGTAACAAAAAAATAATTAGAAATGATACAATAGGGCCCAGATAGCTCATCAGACTAAAATATCTGTTTAGGCAGGCATAGTGACTGGGGTTTGATCCCCAGTGTATTGCTGTGCTGGGTCCTGCATCCCAGAACATGGGAGGCTGAAAACAAGAGGATCACTATATGTCCAATCTTGTAGTGAGACCCTGTAGACCCTGTACTAAATATAAACAAAAAACAAAACAAAACAAAACAAAACAAGAAATGTTACAAAATTTCAATAAACAAAGTAATAGAAATTCAACAATAGTTGCTGTATTGCATGATATCTTAAATTAATTGTTTAGGTTACCAAACATAAACATATAAGATCAGTTGAAAGAAAAAAAATAGCAAAAAGTTATAAGAAATTCAAAAGAAAAAAAGAATAAAAATCAAAAAAATTTAAGCATTAACACCTCCTTTCAAAAGAGCAGTAGTAATCCACAGTACCATTTTCCAAAGTATCCTGCATATATACATTAATATATCTTTTTCCTTTCTTTCTTTTGTGCTTTTCTTCATTCTAGTTTTTCCTTCCCATTCAATAATTTGTTTCTCTTTCACAGTATCTATTGTACCATTCTAGTTTTATTTACTCTTTCAAGTTCTAGTGAGATAATACAATGTTTGCACACGTAGGTCTGATTTCTTTCTTTCTTTTTCTTTTCTTTCTTTCTTTTTTTTTTTTTTTTTTTTTTTTTTTTTTTTTTGATGCAACTGAGGATTGAACTCAGGCCCTTGCACTCACCAGAGAAGCACTTATTCCACTGAGCCATCTCCCCAGCCCTGGTCTGATTTATTTCACTTACTAATGTAGTCTCTCGTTGTATTCACTTATCTACAAAAGCTTCACATTTATGTTTCTTTATAGATGAATAATACTCCATTGTGTAAAAATGCTGTATTTTTTTTTTATTGATTCCTCAGTTGATGGGCATTTGGGTGTTTCCAAGATTTAGCTATAACCAATTGTGCTTAAAAATATGGGTAGCATATATATTGTTGTGGTATGATGATTTCAGTTGTTTTGGAAAAATACCTATGAGGGAAATAGCTGGCTTGAATGTGATATCCAATCCTAGCTTTTTGAGGAATCTCCATACTCATTTCCATAATGGCTGTACCAGCCTGCACTCCCACTAACAGTGGAAAAAGGTTCCTTTCCCCCACAGCCTCTCCAGCATTTGTTATTGGTTGAATTCTTAAAGATAGCCATTCTTTTTTAAATTTTTATTTTAGGGAAGTGTCTACAGGGTGTTCAGGGTCTTACTACTAGATCAGACTTATAGTGATCCGCCTGTTTGCAGCCTCCCAAGAGCTGAAATTACAGGTGTGTGCCACAATGCCCAGTCTCAATTGCTCTCTTAGTGTGCTTTGGGGGTGGGAGCAGGGCCAGCATGGCAGGCCCAGGGATTGAACCCCCGATCTCTATGCCTGCTTGCAGGTGCTTTAATCTTCTGAGCTATTTGGCCAGCCCTAAGATAGCAATTCTTTCTGGTATAAGATGGTGTCTCAGTGTTGTTTTAATTTGCATCTCTTGAATGACCAATGATGCTAAACATTTTTTCAGATATTTATTTGTCATTTGTAGCTCTTCATTTGTGAAATGTATATTCATCTTAGATGCCCATTTTGGACTGGGTCTTTCATTTTGGGGGGTCTGATTTTATTTTGAATTCTTTATATCTTCTAGATGGGAGTCCTTTGTCTGAAGGATGATTTGCTATAATTGTTTCCCACTTCATGGGTTTTCTTTTTACTCTTTGGTGATTTCTTTCAATGTGCAGAAACTTTTCAAAAAGATGAGATCCCAATTGTTGAGTCTGAAGTATTTCCCATGCCATTTGATTTTTGCTCAAGAATTCTTTGCCTACCCCTAAGGAATGTTAAATATTCAAGCAGCCTCATTGTATGAAAGAGAGCTCAGGGCACTTGGGATTCTACTTCCCCTGGGTTTTATTTTAAGTGACTGTATTGGGTAAGGGTCTTTTACACTTTTTTGGCAGAACTGTGGATTGAACTCAGGCTCCTGTGCTTGCTTATTCCACTGAGCCATCTCCGCAGCCCCAAGAAAATTCTTTTTTTTTTTTT